GACTTAATGCACTTAGAGCATTTTATGTGGGGACACACACAGTCGACTGTATAAAACCGATATCTATAAAACCGGCTTCTATAAATTCGACCTAATTTCGTAGTGTAGACATACCCTAAGAGTTATCTTTGGGCCAGCCACTAAAAAGGAACAATAATGAAACCGTTATGTAGGAATTGCTCTTTTTACAGACAATATACCTAGATATATATTTGTCAGGTTCTTTCTAAGAGGTAATGTGTGACTGGTTATCGCTCTGATTCTCAAGCTGCTCCAGCTCCAACATAAAGTTATATTAACCCGCATGCAGCTCTAAATTATGGACAACTAGCTATGATAGCTAAGGGACCGTACACTAACTGTTTATTGGCACAGAATGAGCAGAAATCTGCTGCCCCGCCTTCTCCCATTTCCCCTTTCATGGCTTCTACACCGGGGTGCAGAGGGAAAGTGCTGGTGTAGAAGCCAGGATCACTAACACAAAGTTACCTTCTGATGAAGGAATTATCAACTTGGTAGCTGTAACCAGATTCCACCCCTTTTGCAATGCACAGGCAGCACAAAGGGGCTGGAACAGGAGTGGGAGATTTGGTCTCTGGGTTCTATTCCCACATCTGCCACAAGTGACCATTAATCATTCTGTAAAATGGTGGAACGTGTCTCCCTTCCAGAGTAGCAATGAAGCTGCAAGGGTTGCAATGTGCACAAATTTTATTACCAATCAGCAGAAGAGGCAAGACAAACATATGCTCTTCTGGTTCCCAGACCAGTGCAAATTTTCTTAGTGCAAAGAGTATTTTGATGGGAGAAATACAGTAGTAGCAGGAAGAAGAGAATGACTCATTTTGTCTGTGTGACATCTGTTTGGAGGCAAAGCAGGGGGCTGAAGTCCACAGTGTAGACTGAATAATTAAGCATTTCAGGAGCAAACATGTCAAATCCTACTGTGCACATGCAAATGTCAGTGCTGTGGCTTATCTGGATGGATTTTCATGGGGGCAGCAAAAGGAATTTCTGACCCTAGGAGTCTGGTGACCCTGCCAAATTTCAAGTCCATGTTCCAAACCATCATACACATTTTGGTCTCTGAGAAAAAAAAGAGGTAAACATTCGTACATAGCACATTTTGGCATGCAATGCACTGAGCAGCTTTAAGAGCAGGATGTATGTGCATGCGTCTTTCTTTACCAGAAATGTGATGCTCTTTTTTGGAGAAAGTGTTTTAAAAATATTTTTTAAAAAGAATCCAAGCAACTAAAATGAAAATATTACTACTGTTATCTACACTCTCACTAAAAAGGACTCTGGCTCCATAGACCAATACGGATCACATTTAAGTTCACAAATGGCAATTTAAGAGGCATGGTCTCACCCATACTTTTCAAAACAAAAAATATTTACAACTTTCACTCTGTCCCTCTCCCAGAGCATTCCTGTATTTCAATGACAAATGCTTCTCTTTTATGCCAAATATCCCTATTTATGGGTTAGTACACATGATTTTTATTCCAGCCCTTGCTTGGTTCGTGAGTTTAGCACCTCCTGTTCACAATAAAACTATACAAAAAATCTTCTTACCTAGTAAAGTCTGCTTTTCTTGTAGAGAGTCAGGCTCTGCAGAACACCTGCAAGATCGAAGAACTATCACTCCACCGAGTACACCATCTTCATTGGCTAGGAAAGGTGAACCTAGGGTAGAAGTGGGAGGTAGGGAAAGAGTTGTTACTTGCAAAAGGATGTTTTTTTAAATTTGCCTACCCCCCCACTTTAAACTTGTCACCTAGAGTGGAAGAGCCAAGTCATGATAATATTTCTATATAAATGTCAATTTCATTTCTCTATTGAGAATTGCCATTATTTCTGATGGGTAAATGTTGTACTCACTTGATGGGTCAGGAAGACCTAGACTCCCACATTGTCTACGTGGTAAAAGTAACATTGAAACACCAAGGCAGGTTTAGCACGAAGGGTTGAATATTCATTATTTTCTTCAGAATGGAAATACAACCAAATTAAAGGATAAGAACATATATAAAAACACCTACAAGCTTTGATCAGCTCTTCAAGGTCGTTTAGTATCCTCTTCCTTGGCTATCTGGTGCACAACTACAAAGCTTTGATTTACTATCTCAGAATATATTTCAAACAAATACACCTCTACCCCGATATAACGCGACCCAATATAACACAAATTCGGATATAACGCGGTAAAGCAGTGCTCCGGGGAGGGGGGATGGGAGGAGGGATGGGAGGAGGGGTGGCAGGGCTGTGCACTCCGGCGGATCAAAGCAAGTTCGATATAACACGGTTTCACCTATAACGCAGTAAGATTTTTTGGCTCCTGAGGACAGCGTTATACGGGGGTAGAGGTGTAATAAGATACAGCGTTTAACACAAATATTTCTAGTAATGAAATTCTGTGGGTGACTTGAATATTTCAATTTCAGTGGAAGTTGCAGGTGCTCAGACTTTAGTATCAGATCTCAGAGGCCCAATTGTATTCCCCATGAAACTAAAGTTTTGCCATCAATTCCAGTTGAGGCAGGGTCCATCTCAAGTTGGTGACATGTAGGGTACTGTGACTTAAGGAGGATTATCACACCTGAGGAGACCAAACAGATGAAACCAAATTGATGTTTGATCAAACTACATTTACTCCAAGAAGTGAGGGAATTTTTGATTTAAGTCACCATAAGTACTAAATGATAAGTTTATTCTAATTTATGATTTTTCCTATGCCACTAATAACCCGTTCCTCCCCCCACCCACAAAGCGTCAATAACACACAATTAAGGTTGCAAGCACTCGATGGTACCTTCCAGAATACGAAAGCTGTGCTGGGAAACCAAGAAATGTGGAATTTAGGTCCCTTTACAAGAAAGTGTTATGGTTACAATAAAAGACACAAGTGATAGAAAGCTGAGAGAAACAGTGTTAAAGTGACACTTATACTACACTGCCTTAACTCTGCCAACTTTCATCCCTGCCCAGAGGAGTTCACAGGGAGTATGCTTTAACGTAGTGCTGTTTGAAACAGCACGATGCTAAAGCATATTAGGGAACCTTAAGTGCGCACCGAGCCAGGTCTACACCGACCAATTAATGCATAACACTTTATTGCACTTTAGAAATCACCCCCATAGGGGACATTACCCCACCGTACAGACAGGCCCTTAGTTTCACCACTGATTCACACTGAGGTAGCACCTACAGTCCCATTCAGAATTGGGGCTCAAATATGACAGGTGTTGTGCAAACTCATAGATAGTACCTAACCCCAAAAGTTACCATCTTCTCCATCTCCCCAAATGCTAACTAAACATAATTGGTTGATAATATAATAAAATCAATCATATTATATATAATATAATATAATATAATATAATATATTTGGGTTTAAGGCTAGTGTCCACCACTTCCTAAAATTTTCAGTATTTCTAGCACAATTTGCCATCCTATATGACATGTAAAAAGTCAAGTCTCAAACCTGTCACTGGATTAATGTGGGCAGGCGCTTACGCCTATGCAGTCCCACTGAAGTCTAAGATGCGACATGCGGACATAGGGGTCTACACTAGGCAGATCAGATGGCATAACTGGGCCCTAAAATGTGTTCAAAAATCTATGTGTATAGATGTATAAAATGACATAAGTCTAGTTATCAAGGTTTGTTTCTGGTATCAGTCACACCAATGTGAATGTAGAGCAACTTCCTTGATTCCAAGGGAGTTACTCTAGATTGATATTAGAGTGTCTGAGATCAGATATTAGCCCTGAGGGCATTTGTGTACCATACATATTTGTGGTATTTTGCTCTATTTTGGTTTTATACTTTTATCTTTAAACACCTTAGGGTAGAGGTCCCCAAACTGTGGGGCGTGCCCCTCTATGAAGGAACATTTGGGGGGTCGGGAGCGCAGAAGGGCCTGGACTAGCCCCCCCAGGGGGGGGAAGGCAGGGAGGGAGCGCCACCCAGTTCCACTCCTGGCCCCGGCTGATGGCGCCGTGCCTGCCAACGGGATCCATGACTAGGGATCCACGCCCACTGGCAGGATCTGCGGGGCACAAGGTAAAAAGTTTGGGGACCACTGCCTTAGTGCATCAAGCTAAAGAAAAGTAGTCATTTTATAACGTCATGCTTACCAGCATCTTAAACAAAAATAAGACAAAATATATTACAAGAGTCTATATTTAAGGTAAAGGATCTGAAAATATTAGTTTTATGAGTCTATATCCATTTATTCTCACATCAAGGGAATTAAAAACTGAACCACAGTTTATTGTCAGAGTTGAGTAACAAATTACCATTGGAGAGAGACTGTCAAACTGAAAATCAAGTGTCTGAACATTGTGGCGCTTTGATATTTAGAAGCAATACTGAAGATTTTCATATCTGAATAAAGTTGGGGAGATTTTTGCCATTTTCCCAGTTTGTTTACTTTATGCATTTCACAGTACTTCGTGTATAGTCAGTTTGATTGTTTCCCTGAATAGGCTGCCAGTATCTGCCTTACTGAGAATATTCTGCCTTATAAGCATCAACACAAGAACTGAAAGACACCTTAGAAAAATGGTTACTAATGTGTTCTGTAACTTTTCTTTGAGATATGTTGCACATGTCCATTCCACTTCAAGTGTGTGCCCAGTTCACCAGAGACAAATATTTTTCCCTTAGAGCCATCTGTCGGGGCGGTGCATGCACTTTTAGCACTCTTGTGCTGCAGTCCAGTGGTATAACCGGCAGAGCTGCCTCCAGTCCTCCTTAGTTTCTTCTTACTGGCTAGAGACTCCGACATAGAAGGATCTGGGGCAAAATCAGTACTTGGTCCTGCTAGTGCAGGCAGGGGGCTGGACTCGATGACCTTTCGGGGTCCCTTCCAGTTCTATGAGATAATAATATAATATATGGAGATATACCTATTATTATTATTGAAAGGACAGTGGGTCGTGGAATGGACATGTGCAACACATCTTGAACAACAGTTACAGAACGGGTTAGTAACCATTTTTTCTTTGAGAGATTACACTTGTGCATTCCACTTCAGGTGACTCACAAGCAGTTCAGTCCGCAGGAAGGTGGGTTTCAGAGTTTATCTTAACAGCGATTGTAGAACTACTCATCCAAATTTTGCATAATCTCTGGATTGCCGAGATATAGCATAGTGACTTGTAAAAGTATGTACTGATGACCATGTTGCAGCTTTACAAATGTCCCTTACAAATGACCATGTTGAGCCAGGAAAGCTGTGGAAGCTTCAGGAGCCGTCAGCGCCAAGTGGCTACCACAATCCAGCAGTTGCTGCACCGAGGATGTTGGCATCTCAGCAGGGGACAGTCTTGAAGGCCCGGAGGGAAGAAGCAGAGGTTGGTACCAGGGATCCACACTGACACCCTACTTTCCATATCCTATGCTCTGCTAGTAGATGGTACTTGGAGATCTCAATCTTCCCGCCTTTAAGGAATGTGCTATTTCGTTGGCACTGGAGAGGGCGATTGGTGTCTTCCCTTTGACGATGTCCTTGGCAAGGACACCACAATGTCTGCAGGAGCATTCCTAGCCAAGGTGGAAGTATTGGGTACGCGTGCTGAGCAAGAAGGCTCTAAAGTTGGATGTGAAGCTGCCTGCATAAGAATGTGGTGGATGTTGTTAAAATGAAAGCCTTACTTTACATTTCAAGTGTTTGTGTTTCTGTATTGTGATGGGGCAAGGCCAGATGGCTACAGTAAGGTAATGAGGAACAGGTATGTTAGCCCCAGGCTAAACAAATCCCTGGTACCATGGTAACCAAATGGCAGTTGCTCCAGGTTAATCAAGACACCTGGGGCCAATTAGGATCCTTCTAGAAGGCAGGAGAGACAGCTAGATTGATTGGGACACCAGAAGCCAATCAAGGACTGGCTGGAACTAGTTAAAAGCCTCCCAGTTAGTCAGTGCAGGGTGGCTGTCAGGAGCTATAGGAGGGAGCTGTGCTGTTGGAGGTACGAAGTAGTACGAATCCATATCAGGTGCAAGGAAGGAGGCTCTGAGGTAATTGTGAAGAAGATATTGAGTGGGGGCTGCTGTGGGGAAGTAGCCCAGGGAATTGTACACGCCCTATTTCCAAAAAGTCAGCTTCCATAGCTGCTAAGTTTAGGGTCCCTGGGCTGGAGCCCGGAGTAGAGGGCGGGCCCGGGCTCCCCCCCTCCCCTCCCTGATTAATCACAGATACTGGGAGACAACAGAGACTGTGTGAGGGAGGGTTGTTTCTCCTCACCTCCCTAGCCAGCTTATGATGAAAATGGCTCAGTAGACTGTGACCCTTGCCTCTAGAGAGAGAAGGGCTACGTGGAGGGTCACAGTGAGCCTCTGAGGCTAGCAAAATCCGTCAGGAAACGCTGGACCCACGGAGTCAAGGACAGAACTTTGTCACAGTATCTTTAGTAAAAGGTTAAAAGGCTTTTTAATGGTGCGTCTGCCATAGTACTAAGCAGGCGGAGGTCTCTGAACTATTCCAGCAAAAAGCCCAGTTATGCAGTATGTGCACTTAATGGGAAAATGCTAAACTGAAAAATGGCACTGTAAGACAAAACATTTTGAAAGGAATATTTTCCTGCTATTGCCCTGCAGATGTGAAATTCTGAATTTTTTTGTTATTGTTTAAATGAAAATACTGACACTCCTGTTAACTAGAGTAGTTCAAAACGTTATG